AGTAATGGAGGTGATCAGCAACTTATTGTGGGACTGCGGAGGGCATTCTGACACTGGGGGGGAACTGACTAACTGCCATTGACATCCCAATGATACTAATACAGTGATCAGTGCTAATAAAAAGCTAATGACACTGGACAGGAAGGGGTTCACATCTTGGGCGATCAAAGGGTTAACTGTGTGTTTTGTTTTACATATGTGCTGTGTGGGTTTTACTACGAAGACAAACTGCTTTGTATTGCTCTGCTGTGCAAGTGACCAAGGGAGAAGGTGTAGATGGAGAAGAGAAGGGGACCAAGGACAGAACCTTGAGGGACCCCTAAAGAGGATGTGGAGAGGAGGAGACAGAGTTATTGGTAATGCTGAAGGAGCGCTGCAATAGGTAGGAGGAGAACCAGGAGAGAGCATAGTCTCGGCGGCCAAGAGAGTGGAGTTTTTTTTTGAGGAGGGGATGGTCAACAGTACCAAAAGCCACAGAGAGGTAAAGTAGTATGAGTACGGAGTAGTGGCCATTGGTTTTAGCAGTTAATAAATCATTAGTGAGTTTTAGTAGGGCAGTTTCAGTGGAGAGTGTAGTGAGAGAAAGCCAGGTAGTGAGACGGGCTTCTGAGAAAACTTTAGTGGCCTCTTCGGTAGTAGCAAGGTCAAAAGAGGAAAGTGTTGAGGGAGGTTTAGTATAAGGTATGCTAAGTGGCATGGATGTCTGTGCAGTGGAGATGCCTCTACGAATTGCATCAATCTTGTTTTTTAAATGATTTGCAATCTCGTAAGCAGTGAGTGAGTTACTGGGTGGAGGTGGAGAGAGTAGAGAGCTAAAAGTAGAGAAGAGACGAGGACTGGATGACAAGCTATTGAGAGTGACCAAGTAGGCTTGTGTGGCAGCATGGAGGGAGGAATTGTAGGTTAAGAAAGCAGATTTATAAAGGGTGAATTCTTTCTGGGATGACAATTGCTCCAGTGCATGACTATGTCACTTAAAATTTCTGGTGTCGTCAGTCTGCCAAGATTGTAATGGTCGGGGCTCGATACTTCGTGTAGTTAGAGGAGCAAGTGAGTCTAGTGTGGATGAAAGCGAGCTGTTGTAGAAAGCAGTGGCCAGGTGAGGGCAGGACAGGGGAGAGATTCTTTCATAGAGGCAGTCAGATGCAGAGTAGAAAAGAGAAGGGTTTAAGTTGTGAACATTTCTGCGGGTAATTGCTGCTTGGAGGGATAGGTGTTTGAAGATGAGGACACTGTGAAGGTGATGAGATTGTGATCAGAGAGAGGAAAGGAGGTGTTTGTGAGGTTGTAGAGAGTGCAAAGATGGGAGAAAACATGGTCTAATGTATTCCCATCAGAGTGAGTGGAGGACTGTGTCCATTGTGTTAAGGCAAAAGATGACGTTAGGTTGAAGAGTTGGGATGAAGCTGGGTTGTTCAAATTAATGGGGATATTAAAATCTCCAAGAATGATAGTGGGAATTTCAGAGGAGAGAAAGTAGGATAACCAGGCAGAGACGTCATCAAGAAAAGAATAGGTAAGCAACTTATTCATGGATCTTGAGATATTAATCACTTGCCTACCAGGTACTTTCACCTCCTTCCTGCCCAGGCCAATTTTCAGCTTTCAGTGCTGTCGCACTTTGAATGACAATTGTGTAGTCATGCAACATTGTACCCATTATAAAGTTTTTATAATTTTTTTCACACAAATAGAGCTTTCTTTTGGTAGTAATTAATCGCCACTGGGATTTTTATTTTTTGCACAATAAACAAAAAAAAAAAGAGTAGAAAAAAAAGTTTTTCTTTGTTTCTATTATAAAACAGGGTAATTTTTCTCCTTCGCTGATGTGCATTGTGAGGCTGCACTGATAGGCAGCAGTGATGGGCACTGATGAGGCGGTGCTGATGAGGCTGCACTGGTGGGCATTGAAGAGGCACTGATGATGCACTGATAGGTGGCACAGATGGGCGGCACTGACTGGGGCACTGCTGGGCACTGATGGCAGCACTGCTGAGCATTGATGGGTGGCACTGCTGAGCGGCATTGATGGGACACTGCTGGGTGGCACTGATAATCAGTGCAGATCTCCCCTGTCAGATTTGCCATTTATCGGCAGTACTTTTCTCATGCTGTGACACAGTGATCATGTGGTAAAAGGGCACTGTGATTGGCCTTTTACCTAATCACCAACAGCGCCAGGTGGTCCATGGACGCCCCCTCAGAACTGGAGAACTGCGCTGTCGCCGTCTTTCGGCGATAGCGCAGTTGGGATGCGGTTAATATGTAACATATGTTAACTGCAACATTTACATTCGCTCCATAAGGCGCACTGACATTTTCCCCCCTTTTTTGGGGGGAAAAAAGTGCGTCTTATGGAGCGAAAAATACGGTAATACCCATTTTGTGGTAGAAAATATGATGTTATGCTGAGTTAATATATTACAAACATCGTGCTTTAAAATTGCCACGGAATGGCGATGCTTTAAAGCCTTTACAGATTACCACTGTAGATTAATACAGGAGGTCTGGTGGTAGAATTGTTGCTTTCACTCTCATGTTCACAGTGATACCTCACGTGTGGTGTGATTGCTGCTTACATATGTGTGTGTGTGTGGGGGGGGGGGGGGCGAGGGCACTTTAAAAATGTTTTTTTAATTTTATTTTTACACTGTACTTTTACATTTTTTTAAATCACTTTTATTGCTATCACAAGGGATGAACGACATGGGCCATGACAGGTCCTCTTTATGGAGAGGTCTCATAGGCCCCAGATCTCCCCTCTGGCCTCCAAAGTAGCAGGTATAACTAAGATCGATTTGATAAGCTGCTACACAAGCCAGCAATGGCTTGAAAAACAAAGGAACAGAAACCGGAAGTGATGAAATCCTCATTGCTTCTAGTTTCTGATGTTACACAGTGAGAGGAACAAGATTAGTTCCTCTCACTGTGTTCAGGGAAGCCAATGCCTCTAGTGCAGGGGTGGGCAACTGTGGCCCTCCAGCTGTTGGTGAACTACAAATCTCATTATGCCTCTGGCTTTGGGAGTCATGCTTGTAACTGTCAATTTTGCAATGCCTCATGGGACTTGTAGTTCTACAACAGCTGGAGGGCCACAGTTGCCCACCCCTGCACAAGTGGCATCCTTACAATCTCCCCATGTGCTCAGGAGAGCCCCGATAAAGTCAGAGGAGGGTGCCACCCTCTTCTGCCTCCTGTAAAAATAATCCAGCGGTTTCTTAGCCACTAAGATTACTTTTCTATTGAAAGGAATCACTGGCCCTAAAAAAAAAAAAAGATATCTCGGTTGTTGCTGCAGTGATGACCAAGATATCACCCTTCCAATCTAGCGATGTACCGGTTACAAGGCGTGTCAGCAAGTGGCTAAATTAAAGCTTTCTGTTTTTATGACATACCTTATTTTAGACCCAGTGACATGATCACTGGGTCTCTGAGCTTCTCCACGCAATGCAGGCAGATTATGGATGGTGGTGGGGTGCTCTACATCACCTCCTGAAAACATTACAGCACCCTGCCTCAGCACTCTTACAATATCCCTCAAGCAGTGGGCTGGCTTTTGGAAGGATTATGCAAATATCAAATTCCTTGATGGTTGGATGTCAATCTAGAGGAGTAGGCATTCCGTGACAGGCTGCATTTGAATGAAGACTGCCCTAGGTAATGCCCACATGTAATTCTGAACCTCCACAACTGAAAAATGGGGTGGGCTCTATCTCACTTGTTCACATGCAGAGTAAGCAGTTTCAGTTCAAGAGAGTACCCTGTACAACTGAGGAAGATTGAAGTTCAGCTTTGAAACGGAACTGCAACCTTCTTTTGGGTTTTAACTAGGCAAGGTGATGCTTGGTACCTTTGTCAGATTTATCTCTATTGGGGAAATTTCCCTTGATTTCCTGTGTCATTAGAACTGTAAGGATGTTGCATGATAACATGCATTGTATTGAGGCAGCCTATTCATGTGAACCACAAAGCACCAAAAATCACTCCTGTAGCACTTTAAACAGCACAGCACACTGAAATGCAACTAATGGTAATGTGTCAATGCACATTATGGTGTACTGCAATGCAGGTGAGTTGGGGTGCTATTCGCAATGATTGGCAGCGCAGCACACCAATGCATGTAACACGTCTTACTGTGTGCTGTGGTAACCACTTTTGTGAATGGGCCCTCACTAAGGAAAGTTAGTTATATAGTTGGTAAGGTTGATTAAAGACACCAGTGTGTGTGTGACAAAAGTGCGCAAATTCCTAGCGGATTACCTTAAAATAATTTATTTTAAAAAGAAAGTACAAATAACATACCGTATTTTTCGCTCCATAAGACGCATTTTATCCCCCCAAAAAGGGGGGAAAATGTCAGTGCGTCTTATGGAGCGAATATAGAGCGGTCGGTCCGGTATTTCCACCGCCGACACTGTGTCAGAATACCGGGCCGGCCGCTCAGCTCTTCCCTGCAGCAGGACCTTACCTTATTCTTCCCTCGCCGGCATCTTTAGTGTGGGAACCCGTCGTGTCCCAGAAGACAACGGGCCATTCACAAAGCGCAGCGCTTCTCGCGCAGTGAACACCCAACTGTCACAGCCGGGTTTCCGCACTAAAGGGAGGACACCTCCGTGAAAGTGGGAGCGGGTACCTGTCAAATTCAGGTACCCGCTCCCCCTCCCCCTCCCCAAAGGTCAACATGTCATCCCTTGTACTGTCGGCAGTCTTTGGTCATCTCCTGTACTATGTCCGCAGTCTCTGGTCATCCCCTGTACTGTCTGCAGTCTCTGGTCATCCCCTGTACTGTCTGCGGTCTCTGGCCATCTCCTGTACTGTCTGCAGTCTTTGGTCATCTACTGTCAGGAGCCGCCACGATCCGCGGCTCGGCGCACTGTGCCCGTTTGCGCTAGTGTTCGGGCTCTAGGTCCTGGCCGGTGGCGGCGGAGACGGAATCTGCACATGCGCACTCGGAGCCGCGGGTGCGTGCTTGGCACCAATGACAGCGCAGGGCGCGGTATTTAAATTGCCCTGCGCTGACATGAATTGCCGTTTGGTCTCCCTGTGTTCCTGATCTTGTTGTACGTGATTCTTGATTGTTGCTGACCCGGATTGTTCCTGACCTTGCTGTATTCTGCTGTTCTGACCCCTGGCTTGCCTGACCTACCTCCTGGATGCCCCCTATTGGATCTGATATTCTGTTGCTGACCTGGCGTGTGACCCGACCATTCTCTGCCCGCTGCTTTGTACCGCACTGCTCCCACGGTTACCGACTCGGCTCGTCTGACCACGCTCCTACTCATCCATCTATCCACCTCACTCTGGCATATCCGCCTCTCCACATCAGGCTCTCCCCCTGCAGAAACCTCTGGCGGATTCCTCTACCACGGGTAGGTGTACTCAGGAGCCGCGACCTGGTCTCGGTTCGCTCCAAGTCCATCCCCACCATCAGGGTCCCTGGTGAACAAGCGGACTGGGACTTAGACTCCGCGCTCTGGGGAAACCTAACCAGTGGGCTGCTAGAGGTACCGCCAGGCGGTTCCTTACAGTACCAAACAGCCATGACAGAGTCTGGGAGAGGACCATCCCCATTGGAAAACATATGCCAGCACCTGACGGCCCTGACCCACGCCATCAAAACGCTGCAAGATGGATATACCCATCTGGAAAACCGTATCCAGACGTTGACTGCACCTATCACCACCTTCCAGGGCCCGGCCACGTCTGCATCATCCGGGGAATCTCCAGGACCATCCACAGGGGCTTCAGCCGCACTGCCTACTTCTGAACCCCGCGTTCCATTACCAGAACGATTCCGCGGAGACCGAGCACGTTTCAGGGCCTTCCGGAACGCATGCCTCCTCTATTTCAAATTGCAGCCACGCACGTTCTCCACGGAATCAGTCAAAGTGGAGTTCATAGTATCCCTGCTCCAGGATGAGCCCCAGGATTGGGCTCATCGATTGATGGAAAGCCACGACCCCCACCTAGAAACAGTCACAGACTTTTTTGAGTCGATGGGCATACTGTATGATGAACCGCAGCGGGCAGCCTCCGCAGAATCAGCCCTATACTCCCTTAGACAGGGCCGCCGGGCAGTGGAGGAATATGCGTCGGAATTCAGACGGTGGATGGGGGATACAAGGTGGAACGACGACGCCCTACGCCACCAATTTTGTGTAGGGCTCTCCGAAGCTCTTAAAGACGAACTAGCCCGAGTAAGTCTACCCGAGTCCTTGGAGGATCTCATTGTCTTGGCCATTCAGATAGACCGCAGGCTGCAGGAATGCAGGTTTGAAGGAACCAGCCAGGGTCAGAGAGAACAACATGGGCACCCTTCCGGGGAACAGTTCAACCTACGCTAGAGGGGAACCGGGCTCCAGAACCAGTAGATACCCACGAGCCCATGCAGCTGGGACTGGCTCGGCCTTCCCTATCGCCCGAGGAGTGCCAGAGGAGATGGTCAAAAAACCTCTGCCTGTATTGTGGAGAAGCCGGTCACATGGTGCGTTCCTGTCCGCTGAAAGCGAGTAAGTCTGCTTCTATTTTTTCTTCTATATCCGCTGAAAAGATTAAACAGTCCAGTTACTTAGCCTTACCTATTTCCTTCCAGCTCCCAGGAAGAACCGTGGAGGTGACGGCCATAATTGATTCCGGAGCATGCAGTTGCTTCGTGGACCTAAACTTTGCCCATCAGCAAAAAATTCCTCTCCAGACTAGAGAACAAGGCCTTAACATATTTTTGGCCGACGGATCACAAATTAAGTCGGGGTTGGTGGACCAGGAGACTCCTCCTATTGCTACTACGGTAGCGGGTCATCATTGGGAGTTCCGACTAGACGCCATAGCCTCCCCTCTTTTCCCAGTCATTCTGGGGCTTCCTTGGTTGCGGGCCCATAACCCCCAGATTGATTGGGAGACCGGTTCCGTTCAGTTCTTATCCCCATATTGTCAGGAACACTGCCACGCCTCGGGCCCCGCAGCTCCCCAATTCCTTCTATGCTCGGATGGAGACTCCAATCTAAGGCAGGTCATCCCTTCGGCCTACCACAGCTTCCTGGACGTCTTCAGCAAACGGGGCAGACGCCCTACCTCCACACCGAACATATGACTGCCCCATTGACCTTCTACCAGGCTCAGAGATCCCGTTCGGTCGAATTTTTCCCCTGTCCGAGTTAGAATTAGGACTCTGCAATGCCCCGGCTACGTTCCAGCATTTCATTAATGATGTATTCAGAGACTATCTTGATATTTTCATGATTGTCTATTTGGACGACATACTAATATTCTCTTCCTCACTCGAAGCTCATAGGGGTCATGTGACAAGTGTATTGGAACGTTTACGCCAACACGGTCTGTATGCCAAAGCTGACAAGTGTAGCTTCAAGCAGCACAGTATTGCATTTCTGGGGCTGATCATCTCCACCACGGGGATTGCGATGGATCCTCAGAAGGTCTCGGCGATCCTAGATTGGCCAGTACCCACAGATAAGAAAGGTATCCAACGCTTTATTGGGTTTGCTAACTTTTATATAAAGTTTATCAGGAACCTTTCTGGTCTGGCCTCCCCCATTACCCAGTTGACCAAACAAGGGGTCCGTTTCAAATGGACGCCCGAGGCTCAAGCAGCATTCGAGTCTCAAAAGAAGTTATTTACCACCGCTCCTATCCTCAGTCACCCTGACTCCTCTCTGCCTTATGTTCTGGAAGTAGATGCCTCAGAAAATGCAGTAGGGGCCATCCTGTCCCAGAGAAAGGGCACTAAGGAACTTCTGCACCCAGTGGCGTTCTTTTCGAGGAAACTTTCACCGGCAGAAAGAAACTATGACATTGGAGATCGAGAACTGCTGGCTATCAAGACCGCATTAGAGGAGTGGAGATACTTGCTGGAAGGAGCCACGCATCCCATTCTGATCTTTACCGACCATAAAAATCTAGAGTATTTGAGAACAGCAAAACTCTTACGACCCCGCCAAGCAAGGTGGGCACTCTTCTTCTCTCGATTCTCCTTTCACATTACGTACAGACCAGGCTCCAAAAACACGAAGCCCGAAGAAGCCCTCTCACGCATGTTTGAGGATGCTGAGGAAGTTCCAAAGCCAGATACCATCTTGTCCTCAGTGAACTTCCTTGCCCTCCAGAAGGAGCTACGTTCTAGGCTGCAAGATGCATCCCTGGGTATGCCAACCCTACCTGGGGTGTCCTTCCAGAACAAGGGAGGACTCGTTTGGAAGGAAGGACTAATCGTGGTACCAGAAGAAGTCCGAACATTGGTCCTGGGACACTGCCACGATCATCCGATGGCAGGTGATTTCGGGCTGGCGAAGACTCTCTAATTGCTCCAGCGCACGTTGTGGTGGCCAAGCATGACCAAGGATTGCGAACGCTACATTAAATCCTGTGCCATTTGTCAGAGGAACAAACCGTCCAGGAACAAAGCCTGGCGTTTGCTACGCCCACTGCCTATACCCGATCAACCGTGGCAAATGATTGCGATCGACTTTATAGTCGAGCTTCCTCCATCTCAGGGCCACACCGCGATCTTCGTGATCGTGGACCATTTGTCAAAAATGGCCCACTTCCTACCCTTGAAGAATACGCCATCAGCTCTTGAGACTGCACAAATCTTCATACGAGAAGTAGTGAGGCTGCACGGAGTCCCGGAAGACATTGTCTCGGATCTGGGAGTCCAGTTTACCTCGAAGTTTTGGAGAGCATTTTGTGAAGTATTGGGTATCAAATTGTCCCTCTCCTCCGCTTACCATCCACAGACGGAGAGGACAGACGGAGAGGACAAACCAAACACTGGAACAGTATTTGCGATGCTACACACGTCCTTCCTGCAGGATGATTGGCTGGCACTCCTGCTAAAAAGGTTTTGGGAAACACAATTGGGCTCAGGGTTGAATGTCTGCTGCTGCTCCTAATTTTGAGATATGGATTGCGTGCACGCCGTAAAATAACTACACGGACAACTGTCCAGTAAAACCACTTTCACATCATCTCTGTTTATTGTAGGGCAGTGCTTAACCTTTTATACAAGGAGAACAATAGGGTATGCGTCACTATTATGTAAATACAGTCACATTCTAAAAGGCACATTTTGCTTGGCTGAAATATGGGAGAAGTGAAGAAACTTGAAACTTGCTTCTAGCCCGTTATCTATTCACTCCCCCTCACATTTTCAAAGCCCAAGTATAAGATCCTCACAGCTCCAAGGAAGGGGTTGAGAACATCGCTCTGAACAAACATGTTAAGGAGGACTGCAAAGCCCAGCAGACAAAATATATATATGCGCACAACACATATATTTAGAAATATGAAAAAGTATAAAAGTAAATATATATATATATAAAATGTATATTTTAAACAGGAAACCGAATAGGCATTTTACCAAATCCATCCCACTACCACTGGCAGATATCGCCTACAATAACGCGAACCATTCAGCCACTGGGCAATCTCCGTTGCTTGCAAACTATGGGTTCCATCCCACATTCCTACCCGATCAGGTTGCCGAAAGTTCAGTCCCTGCCACTCAAAGCATGCTCACTTTTTTCTAGTAATAACAAGTTGCCAGGAAGCTATCTCCAGAGCCCAAGAAGACAACAAAAAAGCCTTTGATAAAAAGCGAAGGGGAAACTAGTGTTGCAACAGGGGGATCAGCATGAAAATGCGTGTCCATCGAAGAAACTGGGACTGAAGTTTGTGGGTCCATTCCGAGTGAAACGAATGATTAACAAAGTGGCGTATGAACTCGTTCTTCCGGAGACTTTCAAAATGCACCCAGTTTTTTCATGTATCACTTCTGACCAGCCGTGCCAGACCCCTTCCCAGATCGGGAGTCCAGCGCTATAACCATTGGGAGCAGGAGGTCTGAGGTGGAAACAATCCTGAAATGCGGAAAAGGGGGCCTCAGTTCTGATCAAGTGGAAGGGTCATGGTCCCGAGGAAAACTCATGGGAATTTCACGCCCCCAGTTATTCGGGAGTTCTATCGTAGTCACCCACGGTGTTCAGGTAGGCTGATTGCCCGTTGTTGCCACGATCTGCGGCTCGGCGCAGGCGCACTGTGCCCGTTCGCGCTATTCACTAGGTGGCCGCGGCATTCGGAGCCGCGGTTTGGCACCAATGACAGCCGGATTGCCCTGCGCTGACATGAATTGCCGTTTGCTCCCTGTGTTCCTGATCTTGTTGTACGTGATTCTTGATTGTTGCTGACCCGGATTGTTCCTGACCCTGTATTCTGCTGTTCTGACCCCTGGCTTGCCTGACCTACCTCCTGGATGCCCCCTATTGGATCTGATATTCTGTTGCTGACCTGGCGTGTGACCCGACCATTCTCTGCCCGCTGCTTTGTACCGCACTGCTCCCACGGTTACCGACTCGGCTCGTCTGACCACGCTCCTGCTCATCCATCCACCTCACTCTGGCATATCCGCCTCTCCACATCAGGCTCTCCCCCTGCAGAAACCTCTGGCGGATTCCTCTACCACGGGTAGGTGTACTCAGGAGCAGCGACCTGCTCTCGGTTCGCTCCAAGTCCATCCCCACCATCAGGGGCCCTGGTGAACAAGCGAACTGGGACTTAGACTCCGCGCTCTGGGGAAACCTAACCATTGGGCTGCTAGAGGTACCGCCAGGCAGTTCCTTACATCTACTGAACTGTCTGCAGTCTCTGGTCATCTCCTGTACTATGTCCACAGTCTCTGGTCATCCCCTGTACTGTGTCCGCAGTCTCTGGTCATCTCCTGTACTGTGTCCGCAGTCTTTGGTAATCCCCTGTACTGTGTCCGCAGTCTCTGGTCATATCCTGTACTGTGTCCGCAGTCTCTGGTCATCTCTGTGTACTGTGTCCCGCAGTCTCTGGTCATCCCCTGTAATATGTCCGCAGTCTCTACTGTAGTCATCTCCTGTAATATGTCCGCAGTCTCTGGTCATCTTCTGTAATATGTCCGCAGTCTCTGGTCATCTCCTGTACTCTGTCCGCAGTCTCTGGTCATCTCCTGTAGTATATCTGCAGTCTCTGGTTATCTACTGTAGTACATCTGCAATCTCTGAATATCTCCTGTAGTACATCTGCTGTCTCTGGTCATGTACTGTAGTACATACGCAGTTTCTGGTCATCTCCTGTAGTATATCCGAAGTCTCTGGTCATCTCCTGTAGTATATCTGCAGTCTCTGGTCATCTACTGCAGTTTTTTTTTATTTTATTTTTACATACTGTCACTAGTTAGTGTCCCTGATCACCACCCACACCAGGTATATGATGATGCTGTACTGCAAAGGTGACAGTATGTAAAAAAAAATTTGAAATTATTTTGTAATTCCTTCATTTTCCAAAAAAGTATGACAAAAAATTCAACTTCAAAAAGCTCACCATGCCTCTTACGTAAGCACCTCTTAAGTACCTCAGACTGTCTACTTTCCATTAAAGGTTCATTTGGGTGGTATTTGTACTGTCCTGGCATTTTTGGGCCTCAAGAAATGAGATAGGCCATCAGTAATTCAGGAAAGATAGATTTTCATATACATATATATACAGTATATGTGTAATATATATATATATATATCATAGTTTGTGGACTCTATAACTTTCCCACTAACTATATAACAAATACTGATATGGGTTATTTTCAACAAAGAAATGTAGCAGAATACATTTGGACTAAATTTTTGATGAAAGATTATTTATTTGCTAAATTTTATATCAAACAAAAAAAAAATAGTTTTTTCAAAATTTTTGGTCTTTTTTCATTTATTTAGCAAAAAATAAAAAATATACTACAGGAGATGACCAGAAACTGCGGATGTACTACAGGAGATGATCAGAAACTGCGGATGTACTACAGGAGATGACCAGAGACTGCGGATGTACTACAGGAGATATTCAGAGATTGCAGATGTACTACAGTAGATAACCAGAGACTGCAGATATACTACAGGAGATGACCAGAGACTGCGGACATATTACAGAAGATGACCAGAGACTGCGGACATATTACAGGAGATGACTACAGTAGAGACTGTGGACATATTACAGGAAATGACCAGAGACTGCCGACATAGTACAGGAGACTACCAGAGACTGCAAACATAATACAGGAGATGACCAGAGACTGCGGACATAGTACAGGAGATGACCAGAGACTGCGGACATAGTACAGGAGATGACCAGAGACTGCAACATAGTACAGGAGATGACCAGAGACTGCGGACATAGTACAGGAGATGACCAGAGACTGCGGACATAGTACAGAGATGACCAGAGACTACAGACATAGTACAGGAGATGACAAGAGACTGCTAACATAGTACAGGAGATGACCAGAGACTGCGGACATATTAAAGGAGATGTCCAGAGACTACGGACATAGTACAGGAGATGACATAGTACAGGAGACTACAGAGACACAGTACAGGAGATGACCAGAGTCTGCGGACGTAGTACAGGAGATGACCAGAGACTGCGGACGTATTACAGGAGGTGTCCAGAAACTGCGGACGTATTACAGGAGAGAAACTGACGTATTACGAGAGGTGACCAGAGACTGCGGACGTAGTACGGGAGGTGACCAGAGACTACGTACATACTACAGGAGATGACCAGAGACTGCGGACATAGTACAGGAGGTGACCAGAGACTGCAGAAATAGTACAAGAGGTGACCAGAGACTGCGTACATATTACAGAAGATGACCATAGACTGCGGACATAGTACAGTAGGTGAACAGAGACTGCAGACATACTACAGTAGACGGTCTGAGGCTACAGACATACTACAGGAGACTGTCAGAGACTGCATACATATTACAGGAGATGGTCAGAGACTGCAGACGTAGTACAGGACATGGTCAGAGACTGGAGACGTAGTACACGACATGGTCAGAGACTGCAGACGTAGTACACGACATGGTCAGAGACTGCAGACTGCAGATGTAGTACAGGAGATGAGTTCTTTCAGCAATGCACAGATGTACAATTTGTGAAAAACAACTCAGGGTTTGGTATAACAGTCCACAGGCCATGGGGGGGGGGGGGGGGGGACCAGTCATGCTCAGCATCCTCTCTGAGGTCCAGGAGTGGGACTCCCACTCATATCACAGCTTCTACTACAGCAGCTCCCTCCCTAGCATACAGGCTGCATGGGGCGGGGTCTGTGGAGCTCCCATACCTGGCCCTGCCCCCTCCATGTTGGCTGGGGAATACAGCAATGTCTCCAGTGTACTCTGTGTGCACTGCAGTGAAATCATCAGGGCCCCAATTCGCGAGTAGCATGGGCTTAAGGGGCAGCTTCTTTGGGCGCAGGGCAGCTGGCCAGTTTCAAGACGGCCCTGATGATGATGTTTCAATTTTTGATTCTGAGGCAGTTTCCATTCTCCACAACATCTTAGTGCTGATGTATCAAAGACTTTGTTTCCTGATTCATTTGTGTGTGTGTCTACTATTTTCCATATCCCTCTGCATGGTCCTTGCTAAGAAACACATCTAAAAGTTTTTTGAATTATCTACACTCCCTGCTCACACCACCAACTATGGAGTTCCACATTCTTGCTGTAAAGAATCGCTTACACAGTTTATGATCACACTTTACAGTGTGGCCATGTGTCCTTTTTAGAAACCTTAGATTAAAAAGTCTCAGGCTGGGAAAGAAAGGTCTAGCTACTGGATGATGCTGGATGTAATGAGGCAGGGTGTATCTGGATTGATGTTTCTAATGCACATTATAAGAAGCTTGCAGTACAAGTAGTTTCAGAACAAGCGAGGAGCCTGTAAAATGGTACAAGCCTGAAGGAAAGTCTGAAGGTCAGAGCAGAAAGATGTACAGCAGATTGTTGCATTCCAGAGATTGCTTTAAACCAAACTTCTGCTTGCAAAACTTAAAACTCTCCCAGAAGTTGTGATCCTTTTTTGTAAAGAGTACTCACTGCAAGTATTGAGCCAGGATTCAAGTTCAGAGTAAGTTTGCAGATTTGCTTGGTTAATAGGTAAGGGGTTGCAAGATAAAATAGTATTAGGAGCTGGGCACTGCCCTGGGGCACATGTGCCAAAGCAAAAAGAAATGTTTAGAAATTTCAGTTTGGTGGGGATCAGCAATTTTAATAATGTTTAAAGGGCAACATTAACTATAAATAAATTGTTTAACCAATTCCTGACTGCGCTATAGCCAAAAGACAGCTACATCTTGGTCCTCCAGTTTTGGGAAGGCGTCTGTGAACATCCTCCCCTTTGGGCTCATATTGGGCGCATTCTGTGACTACTGTGTCTTTTGGACACGGCTGATTACAGTGAATGGCCAATCACAGCGGGCCTTTACCATGTGATCAGCTGTGTCTAATGTCCAATGGGCATGGGCTTACTTAAAATTACACCCCAAAACACATTTTGTTATGCCTCCTGCGTATGGGGATGCCACATGTGAGACTTTTTGACAGCCTAGATGCATAAAGGGCCCAAAATCCAAGGAGAACCTTCCGGCGATCCAGGGGCATAAATTACACATAAAATTTCCTGGCTACCTATCACATTTTTGGAGGCCCTGGAGCACCAGGACAGTTGAAACATTCACAAAATGACCAGATATTGGAAAGCAAACATTCCAAGGTATTTTCTGAAAAGCATAGTGAGTCTTTTGAAAATGTTGGTTTTTGCCACAAGTTTTTGGAAAATTAAAGAAAAGAACATTTTTTTTTTCACAAAAAGTTGTCAATTCATAGGATATTTCTAACAAACAGCTTAGACATAATTAGAAATACATCCCAAAACATATTCTGCTACTCCTCCTGAGTATAGCAAAACCACAAGCGTGAAACCTTTACATAGTCTAGCTACACAGAGGGGCCCAAAGTCCAATGAGCACCTTTAGGCTTTATAGGGGCATACATTGCACATCTAATTTCTTTAAACCTATCACATTTTTGGAGGCTCTGGAGCACCAGTGCATGGTACTTGTTGTAAGGTTTGAAGTATCAGAATAGTCAGGAAGGCCGGGTCAGCAACAAGTCTTGGCAGCACGGAACAAAATTAGGTTCCAATAGGGTAGTCAGAGGCAGGCAGGGGTCGTACACAGACTGGCAGAGGAATGCAGAATTGTCAGGCAAAAGCATAGTTAGAGCATCGGGCATCGTGCAAAACTTCAAAATCCAGTAGCTCAGCAGGAAAAGATACAATGAGGGAATACATCCACACAGACACAGAGCATAGAAAGTCTAGCAATTTTAGAAGCTGATCTGATTGCAATTTGACTGCAGCTGGAAGGTAGGTGGTGCTAGAGAGTCCCAAGAGCAGAAGCACTAAGCAGAGCATGTGCTAGAGAGATTCAAATCCTCCAGTGGAAAAGTAAACAGAGCTGCAGCACAGAACCAGAAGGATCCAAGTTCAAAACCGCACAGGCACATGACAACCAGGATAGTAGAAATACCCACAAAATGACCACAGTTTGGAGAGTAAATACCCCAAAGTAATTTTTAAGAGGCAAAGTGAGTCTTTGAAGACTTAATTTTTGTCACAAGTTTTTTGAAAATGTGTAAAAAAAATTAAAATGTATTTTTTTACACAAAGCTGTCAATTAATTATATATTTCTAATACACAGCATAGATATACTTAGAACTACACTTCAAAACACTGCTACGCCTCCCTTTTATGAGAATACCATATATGTGAGATTTTTTCACAGCCTAGCCATACAGAGAGCCTCATACTCCAATCCAGTTGGGGGTTTTCTAAGGGTTAAATTACTCATCTAATTTTCTGAGTACCTATCACATTATTGGAGGCCATGGAGCACTAGGACAGTGGAAACAATTGGAGACATTGGTATGGGGTATGGCGGTGATCAGGATGCTGGTATGAGGTATGGAAGTGATCAGGATGCTGGTATGGGGTATGGCAATGATCAGGACGCTGGTATGGGGTATGGCGGTGATCAGGACACTGGTATGGGGTGTGAAGGTGAGCAGAATATTGGTATAAGGTATGGCGGTGATCAGGATGCTGGTATGAGGCATGACAGTGTTTAAGATGCTGATATGGCATAGGACACTGATCAGGATGCTGATATGGAGTATGGAGGTGATCAGGATGCTGGTATGAGGTATGGCAGTGATCAGGACATTGGTATGGCATATGGCGATGATCAGGATACTAGTATGGGGTATGGCGGTGATCAGGATGCTGGTATGGGGTATGGCGGTGATCAGGACACTGGTATGGGGTGTGAAGGTAAGCAGGATACTGGTATAAGGTATGACGGT